TATATCCGTGTCAGTGTAAATTACTTGTACCTGACGACGACAAAACATTGTCGAAACGTTGTACATTTGCTGTTATGTTAAACTTTAATATAAGTTTTTCTTCATTACCCATTCAAGCCGTCTCCAACCATTATCTGGTCATGTGTGTGTAATATCAGTGAACTAGATTCGTTTCAGTAGAAATATTGTATTAAATTATGTTGAAACTCTCTGGTCATATGTGTGCAATATCAGTGAATTAGATTAGTTTCAGTAGAAATGTTGTATTAAATTGTGTTGAAACTCTCTGGTCATATGTGTGTAATATCAGTGAACTAGATTCCTTTCAGTAGAAAGATTGTATTTTAGTTTCATACTACGTTTTATTCTTCATACAGATATTTGTTTTTGTGTCGGTTAGTTTCCATAGAAAAATTCCATTTAATTTTATTTTCATACTAAGTTTTATTCTTTATACAGATATTTGTTGTCCAATAAGAACAGTTTTCATAAGGAAAATGTAATACTTTGCACATAAATTTGTTGTGTCAGAATATTGTACTTGCCTTTTGTAAGTCAGTCTCATTCATCTGAATATTATCATTACATCAAACGTTTAAGGATGAACCCAGGATTTTATGAAATGTAACTTCTTTTGTACAGTACACTTCTCTCATAAGCAGTAATAACACACAGTTTCCAAGTGTTGGACTCCAATTTAATTTCATTCAATCATTTTTAGCAAGATAACATTAAATTTCATATTGAAAAATATTTTCTCAGTTTTAATTATTTCTGATTCGAATATTTTATTTTGCTGAATAGTTTCTCTTCAAGAAAAAATTATAAATTAACCTAATATTCAACGGAAAGTAAGAAAATATGTGACATAGTAAAGTAAAACAACGGGCTAATTAAAACAGTAGAAACTCTGTCTTATTTTTTCCTTTTTGATTATATTAGTTTTCTGGCCAGAAAATTTTCCTAATGAATTAGAAAGCCAGGAGGTTTGTTGTATTAAAATGCTTAATCTTTTTTTCTTTATAGTATGTTGTGATACACTGTATTATTTTTGTGAGATAAACCCATGTCTTTGTTTTCATTGAAATGGATTAACATCAGTCATATAACAGAGGTCGCTTTGCTTATTTTTTTTATGTGGTAGAAGAAGGAGAGGCTGTGTTGTGCTCTTTAGATTTTATCTTTGATCACGCAGCAGCTCTATAAGTGGATAGTAATAACCAGTTAGGAAGTAAACTAAAAGCGTTTCTGGAAAGAGAGTAAAATGCAAATTGAAATAAAGTTTAAGATTAAGAAAGTTAAAGTTTAAGAAATAAAGATTAAGATTAAGAAAGTTAAAGTTTAAGAAATAAAGATTAAGAAAATATAGATAAAGGGTGGACAAAATAGAATTCTTAGAGAAAAAAAAAGGATCCATAAGGGGAACACAATACCCAAATAAAGTTGCAAGAAAAGAGGGTAGAAAAAAAACAATGAGAAATGATAAGCTAGAGCAACATAGATGATATATGACCATCAAAGAAAGAAAGTGGGTGACACTGTAAGAAAAATTACATAAAAGAATGTTACTTAGGGAATAGTTACAAAAAACGATATTGGAAGCTTCCTGCGAAATTGAGTTGAAAATGTGGAAAAAATGAAGTTGTATCAAATTTGTTGAAAAAAATGAGTAAATTATTTAGATGTAAACGTATAATGATATAATATACTTGTGTAGTAATTGAGTGAGGGAATTGTAAGTCAAATGGTAAAAACAAAGACCTAGAAGAGTATAAAATAAGTTTGATAAGAAAATATGCAAAAAGTAACATATCATGGGAGGTGGGGGGGGGAAACATAGTATTCCCTCTAAATAGGCAGGGCCACACAAGTCTACCTGTTGCTGCCAAGGTAGCTTGCAGGTGTGGTTGATGGTGATAGTGCCTCTGGCAAATTCTTCTGCAGCGACACTGGCTGTGGCAGGTAGGCTTCTGGGCCCCCAAAGCTGTTGACGTCACGGAATCCCGCTTTGGCTGCAGGCAGAACAATTGACCAGCTTATTTTGAATAACAACCACTTTGTTGTTAGGTTTCATTAGTTAGTTTGTGCGTACTTTTTTTTATTTTAAAAAGCGTCTATATAAGTACAGTTAGAGGAAAGTGGCAAGTCATTTTAATATAACGTTTTCTAACAGGACACGATATCACAACTTTGCCTTGTTAAAAATTATTTGAAAAAATATAAGCTACCGAAAAAAATACGCTACAGATTATATTGAAAATTTTTAAAAAGTATTTTAAGGTCATCTTATATTACTTTACAATCATAGACTTGTGTACGTTTTTTAAACAAACAAGTAGCGAATAAAATAAATCTTATTGATTAAAACATATTGTAAACGATTCGTGACCAAACTAGTGAACAATAACTGTGTATAATAACAAAATGTACACGTACATTAATATATGTGTTCATCACATTTCAAATTTACCACACAGTCCAAGAGAGTCATCAAAAAGAGTTTGGGGGATAGCGAACGAACCCCACTTTGTACCTTAAATAAATGTTAATTACAGAAACCTCCATATCTACGTGCAATTTATCAGCGAAACAAATATCTTCAGCACAAGCGAAACTCTGATAAATCCATCATATTTTTAACTAGTTTGATACGGTGCTTAAATTAAAGGATTCAAATATCAGTTTGTCTACCTTATGTAATAAGGTGCAAAATAGCTATTAAAAAGAGATTAACATACGTATATTGTGGGCCCGGCATGGCCAGGTGGTTAGGGCGCTCGACTCGCAATCCGAGGGTCGCATGTTCGACTCCCCGTCACACCAAACATGCTCGCCCTTTCAGCCGTGGGGGCGTAATAATGTGACGGTCAATCCAACTATTCGTTGGTAAAAGAGTAGCCCAAGAGTTGGAGGTTGGTGGTGATGACTAGCTGCCTTCCCTCTAGTCTTACACTGCTAAATTAGAGACAGCTAGCGCAGATAACCCTCGTGTAGCTTTGCGCGAAATTCAAAAACAAACAAACAAACGTATATTGTGACGTACCCACAAGTTTCAATAAGTAATGAGCAGATAATATCAAGTTTATTTTTAAAACTTGCATGACTGTATGTTTCAACATAACTTATTGATCAAATTCTTATTATAACACGTGCAGTTTACGTATATGTGCATGTTTATATATATCTAAGAACTATGAACCATGAACAGAAACGAGTCCCTCTGAAAATCTTGGCGACACTCACGTACGCACACACACACACACAAACTGTAAAAGAAACAAAATATTGCTGTTATTTTCCGTTATGGTTCTGTATGTTGCAGCTGTGTTTATTTTCATCTTTACACACATTTTTATGAAACTAGCGTTATCTCTCTGGTCTGTCTTGGTTGATCCATAGATCAAAACTCTCACTGTTAGACAATGTTAGTTGAAGAGCAAACAAAATATTTGTTTTCATCTCTGTGTTTGCCTGATCTGATACCTTAGCTAACGATATCTTAAATTCAAATTGAGCGTTTGGTGTCCTCTGTTCAACTATTTGTTTCCTTTAACAAAATAAAGAAACAAATAGGAGTTGGGTTGGATTTATCTAAGTATCATGTTTTGTCTACTAAGTTTCCTGCAATATTAGCACGGAACTTCTTGCTGAAATGTTTCTATGCGCATTTCTCAAATAATTCAAAACCTAATCATATTTTAAAGTGATCAGTTTGCTTGTGTTAGTTCTAGACATTTGTTATTTGGAGTCACTCACAAGCGTTCAAACTATACTCTATTGGTATGAGGGTCCTAGAGATTAATGAACCTGTACGCTTTTGATAAAATAAAATGGTGAATGGTCTCTCCTGCCACGCCTGCTTTGTGGCTCTAGCCCGATCATTGGCATATATTAGTGTGTGTGTGTGTGTGATTCATTATATGTAATACTGAATGCAGTAACATAAGTTGTTATAAAACGTAGTTCAGTAAATAAAAAAGTGTATAGAGGGAACAAATGTAAGACTTCAGCTACCAGAAACGTAGAAATGTGTTATTTGTAAGCTGGACACAAACGCCGTTTAGTGGTTAGTGTATCATACTGGACATCCAACATTTTCTGGTTCGTGACCGTACTGCTACCAAACACACTTATTACTTTCAGCTGTGGGTGCTTTATAAGAGTGACAGTCAATGGCGCTACTTCGTTAAGTATAGTTGCTTGAAGCTACTGCTTCTCCCCTTTCAAGTTGTTCATAATAATATTTTTTTAATATTTCTTATTTTATTACTGAAACTTTACATATATATGTATTTTTACTGCTGTGTACCCTTTATTATTTTTATATTTCTGTTGTATTTAAGATGAATAAAAATCCATGTTTACCTTTATTCTATTTTAACGTGTATTAAGTTGTTTAACTGTAAAATAGGTGTTTTATCTTATTAGCCTCCTTGTATTTATTTTTTGCATATTCCATACATATTTTAACTAATATTACAATTATTACTTTTAGTATTTCTCTTTGCACAAAATAACATTTTCTAGACTGACCCAAAACTTGGCAGGACGTAATCTGAATGTGTGTTTTGTTATCTGTGAAAGCTGCTTTTATCGCCTTTTTGTTGTGATAGGAGAAGGATCAGGACTGTTATTTGTTGCAGTTAATATAAATAGAGTATACTTCTAAGTGATTAATTACGTTTGTGTTTAGGGCACCAAATCTTAATTTTTTTTCGACTTTTTTATAATATCAGAAACTAATGGTACTTGTTATCATTGATCTTTTTTATCACTATTTAATGGACGTTGTAGAGTAACGTTATTTCCATTACAAAGACACTTAGTCTCTAAAGCTCTTTTCATTTGTAAACTTGGAAAAAATTACGAGTTTAGAGATTGTTTATTAAATAGTACTTATGACTGTCTATCTTGATTAAAAATGTCTTTAATTTGTTTTTCCACCCTTAGGTAGCCCTTTTTAATGCAGGATTAATTGTTATGGTTAATATTCTTAGGGCTAAATCAAAAAATGGCGGAAGATCTCTTCGTGAAAAACTTGAGAAAATTGGCTTAAACCTCCCGGCAGGAAGGCGGAAAGCTGCTAACGTCACACTTCTTACGTCACTTGTAGAAGGTAAGTATTTTACCAGTCGCCAAGCTTCGACTCGGACTGCTCAGTAAAAATTTGGAAATGAATAAACGTGGGTGATAAGGCGATGTAGAATAATCTAGTAATATTATACTCTTTGAGAAAAGAACTCGCTCGGGAAATGTAAATGTTCCCTTCATTGTTGTGTGCAAGGTATCAGGAGAGCTAAACAAATGAAAAGAAAACTTGCTTTCCAAACCACACGTAAATACCATCTCATTCCGACAGGGCTCTTTAAAATGCCAAAACCAACGTTAATTCTGTAGTATCTCTGTAACATTTGTTATATAACTATTAAATCGTTTTCACACTTGACATTATTTTTACTCATGATTTATAACTGTAAATGCCTCTAATGCCTTACGATATGAAGTTGAAGGTCTTTATCAATTATAAACCTTAATAAACAAAAACAATTGTTGATGGCTGAATTACAGGTTGAAAAAGCGGGTTCAAACTGTCAGTGGTATGTTTGGAAAAAACAAATTTTCCTTATTCGATATTTTTCTACATTTTCATCCTTTGGAGATAATGTTGTCGCTATAGTTTACTTGTTTTTTTTCATTGTTATATTTTTGAAATGAATTAGAGAATTCTGTTTTCGTGTGAGTTATAAAATTAATACAATTAAAAACAGGACCCCTGATGGCGATTTATCAATTCACTTTAGAGGTGTCAACCATAAAGCTACGTAACGCTTAGATACACGACTACAATTTGGCGTAAAGCAATATGCAGACGTGGGATGGCTAACAAAGTACTTGGAGGGGGTAAAAATTACTTCCTCTGGCATCTGCACACCCTTTTGGTTTATTCTGCCCATGAGCTTCCAGTTACTAGAAATAAAAGCAAACTTAGCTACAGTAAAATGTTCTCCACCACCTCTTTCAATTCATTCGAAGCCAAATTTCGGGAAGCACGAGTCATTGGAAAAGGCCAAAATGTTTCACTAGACCACATAATATTTCTGTCATTCGTCATGCTCATCCCATTAGTAGACAACAGAGGAGTGGGTAAATCATAAGTATCTTCAGATGCCACACGTTGACAAAGAATTTGTTTAAATTCATTTCTATAAAGCTCTGACGGATTGCTGTGAATAATATTGCATTTTTCTGTAATCAATTAGATAGAAATGATCTTAAACTTAGCTACAACAACGTACATTATTTTCACTAATAAAGTTACAAATACATTGTAGTTGTTCAGAAACAAGTGCTTGTTAAATGAACTGTAGAAGCCACATTTGAAGACTGTTTATGGATTTCAATATTTTCGTTAATAATGCACGCTAGTCAAGATTTTTTTTTAGAATCCGGAATTTACCAAATAGTAAATAAGATTTAAATTTCTATGTGTTTATATAATTAGAAGTATTAAATTTATTTAACTCAATATGTATTTTAATTATTTATAGCATTAGATACATTTAATCTATAACAATAGCTTCCTTAAATAATAATAACTACATTGGCCAACTGTGATATATAAGGTACATGAAGATTTACATATGTAAATTCTGTTTTGGTTATTAGTAATTCGCTAAGCAGTTGTTTATGGAGTGTGAGCCGAAAACAACGCAAACAGCGAGGATACCTACTTGCTAAACCAGGGCAGAGTGGTCACAAAGGCTTTTTGTAATTTCCCTGTTACTCATAATTAAGACTAATTATTATTGAAGATTTTTAGCAACTATACTAGTAGAAGTTATCACAATTATGTTATATAAATTACTCTGTACAAACATTGATCGTTATGTTCTGCTAGGCAATATTTTTAACAACCTATATTCTTTCGCGAGAGAAATTGAGCAGCTTGTGCTTAATTACAAAAATACTAGAAACTAGCTGTAGTATGTGGGTACACTGCTTTACGCCTCTTGGCATTTACGTATCCAGTTGGACAAATTTCACTGTGGTATGTGCATCAAATATTTCTTTATTTTAAAGAACGTGACTTTCACTAGGACTGCACGTGATGGTTTGATTTTATCTTTATTGTTGTAATTTTTTAAATGTAGTACTGAGATTCTGGAGTTCTTAAAAAAAACGTTATAGTTTATACCAGTAACATTTATGAAAATTTTGAGCTCTGTACATTGATTCATTTTGATGAAATGAGTTTCGTATGACTAAAGAGCACAATCCTAACACTTTTCCCGTGGTGAAAAAAAAATCCTTCTTTAGAAAATATTTACTTTTCTAATTTTTTTTCAATGAGTAATTACTAGCACAAACAGTTACTCGTAGGGCGGCGTTTCTGCTAGTATTTTATAGTGCTGTTTAGATTTTTCAGTGCAATTTTAGTTATTTTTGTTGTCTGAGGAAAATAGGCACAATTTAACTGTCGTTTAACCACCTATAAAGAAGAACAAAGACATTTATTCTATTTATTCTTGATGTCTTTTCACATTGGAAGTGTCCTACGAAATGTGTGTTTTTAATTTAGATTAATAGGGCGTGAGTTAGCCCTGTAGTAGAACTTTGGATTTCGGAGTTGGTGAGCTGTGTTCGAATCCGTGCAATACCACGTCAATCTGTTACTGTTTTTATTATTATTATTTTACTTCTCCATGTCTCTTCACATTAAGCCTCTTAAGTAATTTTAAAACATGAGCGGGGTGAAAAGAAAAAAATTTTCTGAACACCCCCGGTTATATTTTACCCTAGACCTTCGTTTCAGGTCA